AGAGGGGGGATTGAAAAGCATTAGCCAGAGGTTCACCCATGGAGGGCATGCACATCCAAATGTTTTTCTGTTAAGGGGGTTTGTGGCCTGTTGTGTAGTGTGGGTAGGGGTATTGCGGGTATTGAGGTTGGTTTTTTTTCCTGGTTGGTTGGTGGTGGAGATTGGGGGTTGGGCTGAAGCAGGTCTTCAACCTGAAATTGGAGCTGCAACCCCTCAGGGGGACCACAGGGGTTTCCCCTGTTTACTAAATCAGAGGTGCGACCCCCATTCCCATAGGCACAATTGGAGCCGCGACCCCAATTCCCATAGGCACAATTGGATTTGCAACCCCAAAAACCCCCAGGCCGCTTTTTGGGGGTTGCTGATCTAATAATTTCTGAGGGCTGTGAACCCAGCCCCCCAAAAAAGAAGTAGAATTATGTTTTGGAAATATTACACTGCTTGTATGTATTGAATATGATATATTCAGTGCTACTTCATTGGTTGATGTGAGAAATCATGAGTCCTTTATTGAGAGAGAGTCTTTCAAATTAGCTTGAAACTGAATCCAGCCAAGTTTTTTTATTTTATTTTGATAAATCCAATTCCTGAGTTCATTTCTCAATCAACTTTGATAAAATCATTCTGCATCATAATGGAACCTGTGATAAAATAAATTCTATTCACTTTCAGTCAAATAATTCCACCATTCTGTTGAACCAGGAGGAAGCTAAAAGGTATATTTCCAAAGTAAAAATAAAATAAAAAAATCAAGTCCATCAATTCTGGCTGTGAAGAAAACTCATAAAATCATTGTATTTTACCATTTCTGCTTCTGATGCATGTTGTGGGACCTCACACCACCATTTAGCAGAATGATATAAGAGATCTATGAGCTCATTAAAAATTTGTTTCACAATCTTGTAACCATATTATTTTCAAAAATAATTCTCAGTTGATTGCACCACCTGTTTTTATATAGCTTTCAGAACTCACCTCAATTTTTGAAAAAGTTGGTACTTCATGGTAACCATCTAATATTGTTCTGGAGGCAGGCATATAAAACTCTTATTCTGTGTGATCTCCTGAAGTTGTTTTGTGAGCTTTTATATCTTCTCTCATTGTTGCTTGTGCCCAGGTTGGATTCCTTGAAACATATGAGTCTCCCTGTAATTCATTTTTTCAGTGTCCTCAACCTTTGTGATCAAAGTGTAGCCAATCTTGTCTTCAACACTTACCTCATATTTTGATGCACCTCCCTCTTTTTTGCCTTCCAATTCTAAACCATATCCCAGTGCTTTTTGTGGAAATCAGCTTCTATGTATCCTGTCTGTATGGATCACATAAAAAGTAATTCCACATTCATTAGATTGGATTTTGGTGAGTCAATTCCTATTTCATATTGGCATTTTGAAATTTTGATTTTTCAATGTTCAGAGTTAATGATGACTTCTTATAGCACTCACCTGGTGAGGCTTGAATAAAAGTATCTTCTCATCTCCTGGAGCCCCTGGAAATTCTTTATCTGGAGGAGCAATTGCTGGTGTCCCACTTTCTTGCCTCAATTGTTGTTTGGAACCGTTGTGGGATTCAGAGGGGTCCATGACTTGCAATCAACACTTGGAACTACGGCTTGTTTTTTTGTGACTTGGCTTGGCAGGTGGAATTTGTCAGAATTCTGGTTTCCTCTCCGCTCACATCCTCTCTCCTTGTCTCAATCAACCCCCTACCCCATTTTATTTTTAATCATTCCATCATATATT